TCCATTGGATGATTACATTCATACAATGACTTTCCAACGCGAAATATCTAGCCCATAAATGCATTATCTTAATTGCCATGACGAATCATAGTTTGAACATCCAAAGAATTTTTTTATTTTGAGTCCAGCAATAAAATTAACATTGATGCAGCAACTAATGGTAGCACTATTATTATTGACTCGATCGCTTTCTAAATATTATAAAACTAACGTTCAACTATTTTAACTTTGTTTATTTCTATCTCTTTTATAATATATGTAGCATATCATTTATCTACGAATACTGAATAAACTTTTTTCCTCATGCAGCTTTCCGTTCGTTTTCGACGGAAACTATAAAGTTTATAGTATCTTTCTAAAAGACTCTAAATTGATTGATATTTGATAATTGTTATCCGTAGAATACGTCATACGAGTAAGTATATAACATGTGCAAAGCCGTATGTTTTATGATGCAGTTACTGCTTGCAGTCCGAACGTTTTTCGAATCCTACTATGCCGGAGCAAACTAAAATTCCGAATAAATGCAGCATTTCAGGAAATGAGCTGCGCATGTCCTGAAAATCAGTCATAGAACAATATCATTGGTTTCCTGAATTAAATTGTTTGTTTTTTTAAAATTCTAAATCGTGCTAAACACCCTAATAGTCCTTTTGTTAACACGAAGAGATAACTAGCTAAAAACTAGTGTGAGCTGCATCGGTGTTTCTAATGAAACAGTAATGATAAAAGGGTAAATTATACACCGTGAAAAGATGAAAAAGAGTAAAAGACGACGAAGGACTAGCGTCCGAAACGTCAGTAAGTTTTTTCATTTTTTCACGGTACATAATTTATGCTATTATCACTTTTGTTAACACCTTGGACAATTATTCACATGTCTCTATCACCGCAAGCTCACCGTTTGTTTTGCTTGGATGCAAAGGGCATGGCTACCTTCCAAGATGGCGCGAGGGGATTATTGATTTGACTTGACTTGACGGATTTCCGATTCAGATTACTACCACCACAAGACTTGCTTGACTTGAAGGTAGGATTTCCATAAGGATTTCGACTGATTCACATTGTTTGTCTCTTGTAATAGTTTTAACTTAAAACTTAAAATTAACTTGTGTATCCAAGGGCATATGTCTTTGTGTCTTTAAAGTGCACATGAACCCTTCGACAATACTTTCAGTACTGATTCTACACGAAGTAAATAGTTGAATGGTAAAATATTTCTTGATTTGAGTGATGCGT